AGTAGATTTTAGGTGGTAACTCAGTACACATATAATCTCAACAAAAGTTCTATGAAATAATTCTTGCTCCAACTACCTGCAGTGCACTTTTGACATTCTGACTATTCTGTTTCATTTTCATCCCTTACTCATGATAGAGCACATATGCTCACAAATGAGGGAGGGGAGGGAGCAGGTCTGGTCACACTGCAGGTCCCTGCCTCTAGTCCTCCAGCCTATTGGATCCTGGGCACTAGTGCACATTCCCAACACGTTTCAGGCGGATCGGTTGAGGATTTGAACTGAGGTCACTATGTGGTTTTCAGCAGTGTAGTTTGGCATGCTACTGCCTATGCCACCACGGCTGAGTCCTTTTTCATATTAATTTTATTTTTTATTATTTTTAAAAATTTGCCAGAGGATATATGCACTTGCCAGAAAGAGAGAAAGAGATGGAGAAGGAGACAGCACCTCTCCCCAGTGGGTTTCGGCCATGCCATAATCCCTTCACCGCCATAGTCTATCTTGTCAGGATTTGGGACACACAGGCACACATACCCAGGATGCTTTTCAAGCCACTCGGGGCCAGGATTAGAACTATGGTTGACCATGTGGAATCCAACTCCTTTAACCACTAGTCCACAGGTTCAACTTTCTATTTAATTTTTAAATGTCGATCCATTGAACCAGGCTTATGGCTCATTTTGACCCTCTCCAGCCAGTAGAAATCCTTTTTCTCCCCTTTTATTCACTGAGAATTGCTGGGCTGCAGACAGATGCCTGCTCCACTCCAGCAAACTGCCGAACCCCTCTCCTCTCAGCAGCGAAGGGCTCTTCTTCAAGAACAGGACTGCCCATGTTGTCAGAAACTGTCTTTTGGGGCCATCTGGTGTGTGTTGGATAATATCTCATTGAGGTTCTACTTGGTGCTTCTCTGATTAAAGTGACAAAGCATGTTTGTGCGTGCTCTGAGCCTTCTTTCTGGACTCTTCCTCATCTTTGAAATGCCTCTCCATACCTTTTACTCGTGTCTATTTTTTAAAGATTTGTGCAACTTCTTCATGCATTCCAGATAATGCATTATTTCTCCCTGTCCATAGTTTCCTTGTACTTATATTGCTGCTTTCTGGTGATATAGTCAGACTCACCAATATTTTCCTACATGATTTTGTGCCTGTTTATGAAATCTTTTTTTTTTTTTTTTAGAGATTTTTGCTATAGGGAGTGTGCGCTCACCAGAAAGACAGAAAGAGACAGAGAGACAGAAAATGAGAAATCGCCCCCCAGGGATGATGGCCACACCACAATCACTTCTTCTCCATTCTCCTCCTGGGATCTTGGGCACGCACGCACACGAGCCTGGTGTGAGTTTACGCCACCGGGTCCAGGCCTCGAACCATGGTCAACTACATGGGAGTCCAGCGACATAGACATTATGCTAGCTGCTGGTCCGTTTATGAAATGTTTATGCACTGAAATTCATACATATAACCTCTTACAGTTTCTTCTAACAGCTTTAAATGTGTTTTTCGCACTTAGGTCTTCAACCCACTTGCAGTTTAGGTTTGCTTATGATTCTACCACATTTGCCACATGGATAACCAGTGTTCTGGCCCTTGCTCCTGCTGACCCACAGGTTCTAAGTGCAGAAGGCTCTGCTGCTGAGGGGCCCAGGTGGTTCCTTTGTGTTATGGTTTGAACATGTCCCCACAAATCCATGTAGTAAGATGAAGAGGGTGAAAATTAAACCCACCACAGTGGTGAAAGGTGGGGACTTTGGAGGTAATTAGGCTTAGATAAAGTCATCAGGGTGGGGCTCCATGACTGAATCCTGGGGGGTTTATGAGGAGAGGGGATTAGACACACATGTAGAGATGCATGCTCTGTTCCCTCACCATGCGAGGCCCCGCATAGCAGTGGGAGCCTGCCGACAGGAAGACCCTCATCAGATGTGGCCCTTACACCTTGGACCTCTACATCGAGAGCTAAATAAACCTTATTTAAATCAGGTTTCAGGTGTTTTCTTTCATTAGCAGCAAATGGACTAGACCACTGGGTTAGCTGGTGTCTCTGTGCCACACTGCCTTCTCTATCACGGGCACGGCATCTCCAGGATCTGGGGGGCAGTACCCCCTGTCTTGTCACCTGTTGGGTAATTGTCTTAGCTCATTGCTCTCCCATGTAAATTTGCAGTCAGTTGATAAGTTCTCCTTGCCCCCACAAGCTGCTTAGATTTTCATTAGTACAGCAAGAATACTTGGGGACAATTCACATTTTCCACATATACTGTTCCATTAATATCAACTTTCTTCAAGGGCTTTCAAAATTTTTGGTATTTTCTCAATAGGAACGGTATCCGTTTTACTTTTTATTCATAAGGACTTTATGTTGCTTAAGTGAACTCTTCCTCCCTCCCTTCTTTCTTTTTATTGTCAGAAAGCTCCAGCACTTTCAAGAAAGAGAGAGACAAAGAGGGACAGAGACAGCACCGCACAGTGGGACATGGTCACGCTATAAGCCCTCCAGCATCATTTCTTCATCCTCTTGGGCTTGGCGATCTCGCAGAAGGCTGGAAGCTGTTCCGCGGATCGGATGGTGTGGTCGCCAGAACTGACTTCGCAGACGCTCACCAGGCGGCAGGCCGGGGCGCTCTGATCCTCGGGTGCACGCTCGAGAACACGCTGCTGGTCGCAGGGGTGGCGGTGGCTCAGCCATGGCCAACGCAGGACAAGCGTCCCTCGAGGGGAGACAAGCGCTGACCTCGAGGCAGTCGCACGGGCTCAGCAGACCTGCCTGCGCCGCCGGGCGGGGTGCGATCAGCCAGGAGGGAGCTCAGAGAGCGCAGCCGGCCGAGACGCAACCGCTGCCCCACTCTAAGCCGCACGAGGGCGCTGCAGTCCCGCAGACGCGAGCTCGAGCCACCGGCGGAGGCCACAGGAGGCCCTTTGTTGCGTTGCTGATGACTCACTCCCACCTCCCGGCCTAGGGTGGAGACGGTTTAGCTGGGCAGACAGGCGCTTACCAGTTCTTTGTGGAATGGCCACGTCGCTTAGCATGCAGAGTTCTGGGTTGTGGGGGCCCAGCTTCAGCCAGGTGCGTGGTAGTGAGATCAGGCTCTGATGCCATGTGGGAGGGTAGGTTGTTCACGTTTGTCCCTGACCACCTGTTAACGCTGGACAGAACAGAACAATAGCGATGATAGTCACTTTTTTTTTTTTTTAGGTGTTTGCTGTAGGGCCTGTGCCCTTACTAAACAAAAATAGGGAGAGGGAAAGTGAGGAATTACAACCTACCCCCCAGGGGGGTGATGGCCAGGCTGCAAGGATCCTTCATTTTCTTCTTGGGATTTTGGGTACGCATGTGTATGCTCCCAGAGTGATTTTCAAGCCACTGGATCCTGGACTCCAACTGGGAGTCGTCTGTCACACTTTTTTCCTCCTAGGTTTTTGCCATAGGGTGTCCAGTGCTCACCAGAGAGGAGAGGCAAAGGGAGGGAAAGGGAGAAATCATCCCCTCCCCCAAGCAGGGATAGTCACACCACAATCCCTTCTACTCTAGGCTCTTAGGGGCACGCTGGAGCACATGCCCAGCAGGAGTTTTAAGCTGTTAGGTCAGGACACCCACCACAGTTGGCCATGTGGGCATTCAGCCGCCTTAACTACTCATCACCTGCTGGCCCCATCAGTCACACTTTTAAGGTTTAAAAATGTCTTGCCCAAGAGAAACAGAATGAGGTGGAGGTAGGGGCTGGCCTACTCTGAACCTGCCCGCTAGGGTGCACATCCCCCAAAGGGCCTGTCTGAGCAGATGTGTGTGGGGGAGTGGGGAGGTGTTACCTGCTCGGCACACTTGTCTGCATCCTGCATCCTCAGGCTTGGATGGAGTTGAGATCAACTGCACCACTACCCCCCCCCCCACACACACACACACACACCGCCCTACCTTATGCCATGGAGCCGCAGGAAAGGAGTCTGGGTAGCTGCTGTGCTCTGCTCTGTACCTGCCAAGGTCAGTCCATCTCCCATTGTTGGTGGTTGTGGCAATTAAAAAAAATAAGACAACAGAGAAGTTTGTCACAACAATGGACTCCTCCTTTTATGAAAGATTTTTTTGGTAGCTTGTGATATTGTTTGATAGCGTTTTACCCACAGTAGAACTTCTTTCAAAACTGGAGTCAATCCTTTCGAACCCTTCTGTTCTTTACCAACTAGGTGTGTATAATATTCTAAATGCTTTATGGTCATTTCAATGATGTTCACAGCGTCTTCACCAGGAGTAGATGTCATCTCAAGAAACCACTTCCTTTGCTTATCTTTAAGAAGCAAAATCTCATGTGCGAAAGTTTTAACATGAGGTTGCAGCAATTCGGTCGTCTTCAGGTTGCCTTCTATTTCTGATAGTTTTCTTGCTATTTCGACCACCTCTGCAGTTACTTTGTCACTGAAGTCTTGAACTCATCAAAGTTATCCATGAGGGTTGGAACTGACTTCTTCCAAACACCTGTTAATATTCATATTTTGAACCCCTCCCATAAATCATGAATGTTCTTTTTTTTTTTTTTTTTAGAGTTTTTGTTTTGTTTTTGTTATAAATCGTGTGCACTTGCTGGAGACACAGAGAGAGAAGGCGAGAAATCACCTTCAAGGGGAACGGCCACACCACAATCCTTTCTTCACCATTCTCCTCTCGGGACTTTTGGTGCACATATGCATATGCCCAGTAAGAGGTTCAAACCACTGCGTCTGGGACTGGACTTGTGGGGGTCATGCGGGAGTTCAGCATCTACCACTACACCACCTGCTGACCCCCACAAATGTTCTTAATAGTGTCTAGATGGTGAATCCTTTCCCGAAGGTTGCCAACTTACCGTGCCCAGATACAGTAGAGAAATCACTATATGGCAGCAATAGCCTTATAAAATAATAACTCTCAAAAGTCAAAATTATCCCTTGACTCATGGGCTACAGGATGAATGTTGTATCAGCAGAGATGAAAGCAACATTCTTTTTTGCACATGTCCATCAGAGATTTTGGGTGACCAAGTGCATTGTCTGTAAGCTGTGATATTTTAAAAGGATTTTTTCTTTTTCTGAGCAGTAGATCTAAACTGTGGGTTTAAAATATTTGGTAAACCATGCTATAAACAGATGTGCTGTCATACAGCTTTGTTATTCCATTCCTAGATCACAAAGTACATTTAACGTAATTTTTTTTTTTGAGAGTTTTCGCTATAGGGTGTGTGTACTCTCCAGAAAGACAGAGACAGACAGAGAGACAGAAAGCGAGAAATCAACCCCCGGGGGAGATGGCCACGTTGCAATCCCTTCTCTATTTTTCTCTCGGGATCTTGGGCATGTACACACACGCACTCTGCGTGAGTTTAAGCCACCGGGTTCGGGACTCGAACCACGGTCGACTGCATGGGAGTCCAGCATATAGCCGTTACATCAACTGCTGGTTCCATAATTCTTAAAGACTCTAGGATTTTCAGAACAATAAATGAACATTGGTTTCAACTGAAAGTCATCAGGTATGTTAGCCCCTAACCTGAGAGTCAGCCTGTCTTTTGAGACTTTGTTTGAAGCCTGGTGTTGACTTCTCTCTGGCTATGAAAGCCCTAGACAGTATCCTCTTCCCATATAAGACTGCTTGTCTACAGTGATAGTCCATTGTTCAGTGCAGCCGCTGTCAATGATCTTCACTGTATTTCCTGGATAACTTTCTGTAGCTTCTATGCCAGCACTTGCTGCTTCACCTTGCCTTTTCACTCTCTTTCTTTCTTTTTTTCTTTCTTTTTTCTTTTCTTTTCTTTTTTTTTTTTTTTTTTTTTTGTGGGAGGTTTCTGTGATGGGGCGCATGTGCTCACTGGAAAGACAGAGAAAGACAGGGAGACAGAAAGCAAGAAATCACCCCCCAGGGGGATGGTCAAGCTGCAATCCCTTCTTCTCCATTTTCTCGGGATCTTGGGCACGCACGCACATGTGCCCGGCGTGAGTTTGAGCTGCCGGGTCCAGGACTCGAAGCACAGTCAACTACATAGGAGTCCAGTGACGTAACCATGACACCCTCTGCTAGTCTCTCACTTTGCATTTTTATATTATAGTGATGGCTTCTTTCCTTAAACCTCATGAACCAAATCTCTCTCAGCCTTCACTGCATTGAAGAGAGTTAGGGTCTTGCTCTAGATTAGGCTCCGGCTTAAGGAAATGTGACCGGTTTGATCTTCTATTCAGACCACTAAAACTTTCTCTGAGGCAGAAAGAGGGCTGTTTCGCTTCCCTATCATTTGTCTGTCAGTGAAGCAGCACTTGTAATTCCCTTCAAGCACTTTCCTTTTGCATTCACAGCTTAGCTATCTCTCTGGCACAAGAGACCTAGCTTTGGGCCTATCACTGATTTTGAGATGCTTTCCTCACTAAGCTGAATTCTTTCTAGCTTTTGATTTAAAGTGAGATGTGCAACTCTTTTTTTTTTTTTTTTGAGAGATTTTTCACTGTAGGGCGCGTGCGCTCGCCAGACAGACAGAGAGAGACATAGAGACAGAAAGCGAGAAATCACCCCCCAGGGGGGATGGTCACACTGCAATCCCTTCTCCTCCATTCTCCTCTCGGGATCTTGGGCACGCACGCACACGCGCCCGGCGTGAGTTTTAAGCCACTGGGTCTGGGACACGAACCGCAGTCGACTACGTGGGAGTCCAGCGACATAGCCATTACGCTAACTGCTGGTTCCCCTCTTTTTTCACTTGACCCCTTGGCAGACATTGTCGGGTTGCTGATTGGCCTAGCTTCAGTATTGGTGTATCTGAGGGACTAGGAAGCCTGAGGAAAGTGAGAGCGATGGAGAAACAGCCAGCTGGGGGAGCCCTCAGGACACGAGCAATACTTACCACTCACCTTCACAGTCTCACATGGATATGGTTCACGGAGCCCAGACTTGTCACAATAGTGACATCAGCGGTCACTCCTTGCTCACTGATCGCCATCGCATATGTAATAATAATAACAATGAAAAAAGTCTGCAATATTGTGGAGATCGCCAAAATGCGACACTGAGACAGGACGTGAGCACTGTTGTTGTAACTTGGCACCGACAGATTCCTCAAGGCAGGATTGTCACGAACTTCCAATTTGTAAAAACTGCTGTGTCTGCGATGTACAGTAGCGTAAACCATAATGAAGCAAGCTGTGCCTATAAATGAAATGTCCATAGAGACAAAATGGAGACCAGTGGTTTCCTAGGGCTGGAGGGAGTGGGAAGCTTTGAAGTGACTTCTAATAAATGGGAAGGTTTTTCTTGGGGCGGGGGGAGGGTGATGAAAGTGTTATAAAACTGGTTTATGACGACCGTTGCATAACTCTGAGTACACTTAAAAACCAAAAAAGCGTACACTTTTAAAAGGTGAATCGTGTGGTATGTTAATGATTAATATATCTCAAAAGCTGCTTAATAGGGGTAGGGGTAAATAGTGAGACCCCCAAAATGGAACCAGAGAAATGGGAGGCAGGAGGAACGAGCCGTGTGGGGAGGGACAAGCTGGGGGTCAGGGCATGCAGGCCTCAGAGAGGGGGAATAGCTTGTGAAAAGTAAACTTCACACTTTTTACTTTTTGTGAGTGATGTAACCTGCTCTTCTTTTTCCTTATGAAAAAGTCTAATATCCACATTATTTGCAGCAGCTTTACGAGTTACACCTGTGCATGCCTTTTTTTTTTTAATTCCAGAGGGTGTGTGCATGAGTCAGAGAGAGAGAGAGAGAGGAGAAAGAGAGAGAGAGAGAGATTCCCCAATGGGGTGTAGTCATGCCACAATCCCTTCCTCTCCATCCCTCCATCTCACCAGGATCCTGGGTGTGCACACACATGTGCCCAGCATATTGTCCACGCTGCC